GAGATTCACAAAGTGCTGCGCCTGCCACGAAATCTGCACATCGAGATGCACAAAGTGCTGCGCCTGCCACGAAATCTGCACATCGGAGATCCAAAGTGAGCAAGTTGCACGAGGCTTTCGCAAATTTTCAAATGCGTTTCAGAAATGCTGTGCCTGCCACGAAATCATGCCTGCAGGTCATACGAAATGCTGCACTGGCCACGCAAAAGCATCCTCAAGTTCAAATTCCAAAAATGCGACCCCTCTCACGAGTTCACCCGTTTCACCTCAAAATATCGCATCCATGGTGCGGATGCCCTGCGCCTGCCACGTGAAACGCAATCCTGCGAATGACACGCGCCTGCCAACGTTTTTGCAACGTCCACAAAACACTGCGCCTGCCACGAAGTTTGCAAAGTCTCCGATTCCTTGCACCTGCCACGTAAAATGAGGCTCCAATGTGTGGAATTCCTTGCGCCTGCCACGCAAAATGCACTTCATGTCCGAAAACGAGCACGGCACCTGCACGAGAGCTTTGTCCCGGAAGCGCGAAAGGCGCGGCCACCACTTTATGCGAGCCTGCGCAGTCGAAATGGACATGAGGAATTCAAAAAGTCACTTTTGTGCGAGCCGGCCCACGCAAACTGCCGCGCCCACACGCGCGAACCCTGATCTAAACCCGCTTAACTCTTACCGTAAGAACCCCTTAGTGCGGAGCACTATTTGGGGAAAAAACACATACAAGCAGTGGCCCAATGATTGTGACAACAAAAAGAACTTCTGGGATCCCAGAGTTATAAATTCGAATTAATAATAATAATAATAATAGTGTTAGTCTTTTTTAAACGCTAAAATCGTCTGAAGAAGGAGCTTTTTCAACCAACAGTCTATTACAGTACTCCCAGACAAACAATAATTGGGTCACGTTCACCTGGTCTTGAACAGCAGGACCACCCATATCCACACCCACTCCTCGCTCTTATTGGTGCAGCATGGACTGCTAGCACATGGCGGATCCATGTCATTCAAAAGTGGCGTTGTGTTCATGGATTGGTTAGGGGCTGTGTTCTCATATCGCTTTGTTTGCTTTATCATGCTTTATCAGCTTTATAGGAAGCTGTGGAAGCAAAGCAACACTGGGCTCCGTCTGGCTGGAAAAAAGACTCAGCCCGCTTTGCTTCCACGTACGGCTCCGGTTCGTTCCTCCTCGATACTGTACGTTCGGAGAGCCGTCCGTGGCGTCCTGTCTCGTCGTAAGCCGGAGAGGCACCGTCGTAAGAAAGGTCCGTTCGTTCCCCACATGAAGTTAAACGTTTGTGGACGTTCCGAATGGTTTTTTCAAGTTGACAGCGTTTTTATTGGGCGGCTCCGGCCACATCGTGAAGGGAGCACGAGTTTCGTCAACGGCCCAAGACTCTTGTGGGGTGCACAGGATCAGGTTTGTTGTGCTAGTGGTGTGCGATGGGCTCTGATTGGATTAGCATATTCATAGAGCAGCTTTACTGGGGCGATGCTCACACGATTCAATGCCATGACATGATGATCACTGCAGCCATATATTTCGATGAGAGACACTCAGTTCAGTAATGGAAACCTCATGTCCACCTCAGTCATCTGGCCCAAACATAGCAGCCATGCAATTCAAAGCTGTGAGTCAGCGGCCATGCGAATCCGCGAAGGAGTCGCTGGATCTTCCTATAGTGGAATCCCATGCAACAGTGCTTCTCGGTCTCGGACGAGGGTGGAAAACACCAAATCGGGAAGAACCTGAGGGTTCTGGCTTACTGCAAAATCTAAATGGAGGAGGCCGTGATGTCAAACATGTCAAACAAGGTAGACCTTAGCATCAACCACCAAATGTCCAAAAGCTAAATGTCCGTTAATTTCCTCCACCCACGATCAAACATGTCCATGGCCCATCAGTATCATGCCCATCGCCTTATGGTCTCCACCCGTGGTACAATGCCAATCCTGGCCCAACACCACCGAAAGATTGGAAGGCAAGGGCCAAATAGAGTTCCAGAATAGTCACGGCACCAAAGGGACATGTGCTATCCAAGTAGTACATCGAGCTCAGCTCGCCTCTAACAATCCCACTCACTTCTTCCACCATCAGCACGTTTTCCTCCAGCCGCTATAAATCGTGCGCCCAGGTCTTTTTGGTTCCATGCGCGGATCCGGAGGAAGCAGTGGAGGCCAAGGCTTGCGCAAAGGAACTTTGGGAGAGGACCTGAAGCTCCTGGAACATGAAAGATCAGTGGACGCCGCTTCCTTCCACGAAGCATGAGACGTGCTTTCGGCCGCGATATAGGTTGCTTAGAAATACATTGAGTATTGCAAACCGTTGGAACGGCTATCCTTGGCGGTGAACATTTACCTTCGCCAGCTGGCAATGCAAGACATCTGTCTTTGCAATCTTTTGGGAGAGTCACAGAGATGTATTCGGTGTCCCTCAACCATCCCAAATTGCCTGGGTACAGTAGAACCCCAAACACCTCAGTTTTGGAGGACTTCTCATGTGCGTTTTCGGCTCTGGGCCTTTTTTAAACTTGACTTAGAGGACCAAATCGTGGAGAAATCCACGAGTGATGAGAACAAGGAGCTACACTGGCGCAGCAAAAGGTGGTTAAACGTCTCCGCAATAGATTTTGGGACTCAAACTTCTGGATACTTCTGGTACTATCCACCCTGTCATGCTCGCGTCGCTCATGCGCATGTTCACGTTTGGTCATTGCGGTTTGGTGAAGTATGACTCCACCCCATAATACACCGTGAGGTGCACAATTTGCACCCTTTCGTCCCCAAAGTTCCATTTCAACACCTGCGGCGCTCAGCTCCCCCCGCTCCTCCAGGTTGGCCGCGTACAACGCCGCGAAGGCCTCGTCCTCCTGGGAGACCATCGGTGAAGCGGCCGGAAGCGAAGGGGAGACCACAGGGAGCCCGGTGGTGGACTTCGAAACCATGGTGTGGTGACCGGAGAGGTCACGAGTGAAGCAAGCTGCTGAGTGATTCGCTTCACTGGAGCCGTCGAAGGCTGCTGAGTTGATCATAACAAATCCAAGCGCCAATCTTCATCGAATCACCAAAGCTCGAAGCTTCGCATGAAAATGACACCTGGTCCAGGCTAGCTTGGAGCCACCAACAAGAGCAACATTTGGACCATCCAGATCTTCAGCTACTTAGTAGAAAAGGGCAGCATAAGGGCAGAATGTGTTTCGTAAGCCTTCGGTGAATGAACACATCCACCAATTCCCCAATCCCTTTCACTCATACCCATTCCATCCCATTCCCAACGACAGTTGGGACCGACTCAACAAACCCACCAATCCCTCAATGTGTCCAGGACGAGGGAACACGAAAGCAACCAAAATACTTGGATTTGCTTCAGGAATCTCCAGGGTTTTTAACCCTAAGGAAAATACAACATCTTAAAACAAAATCACCTTAAGCCTTACGCAAATCCAGAAAAATGCAAGAAACGGTTACGGCGATCGACTGGTGCTCCTGATCCCAGGTGCCCTGCAGCTGGGCGAGGTGTTCCTCCAGTTGTCCTCAGCGTCGGTCTGTGGGCGCGGGTGCCGTGCCGACACCGCGCGGAGCGTGACAGATCGCAAACAAAGCAACAACGAGGGGGACAGGACACGGACGTAGCAACAAAAACATGACGATGCATGAAAAGAATAGAGGGTATGTAGATGTATGTAGGTAGCAAGAATCAGGGAATATCTTATCAACTAAATGGTGAACACGAAGCGTTGCATGCAGGGCAGGTCACAGGTATGTCGAAAGGTTAGTGGCAACTGGACTGCGTGTCAAGGAAGGTCGAGAACCAAGGATGTCTTCCTCCCTATGTTCCACCTCTTGGAAGCAGCATGTCGACTCCTCATTGGAATCAAACTGACTCCTTAAGTCGTGACGGTCAACACCGTACCCACATACCGTACCCACTACCGTGCACGGACGATCCTGCGGGCTGACGAGCAGGGTGGTGACTTCGAGCCGACCAGCTGGCGTGCTGTCGAGCGAGGGGGTCTCCAGGGCGGGCCTCAGGACGTGAACAATGACTTATTCATCGTTCGCCACCTGTTCAATCCCCTAGCGGAGGTGTTCTTTGTAAGGCACCCATCCAGTCCTGTTCCGGCTTTTGAACAGCGGATGAGAGAAGAATCACCTGCTCCGCAAAGTTCCAAAACCATCCTAAATGGATGGAAGGATGGGATGCCAAGTATTGGAAGGTGATTGATCCACCAATTCCTAAAGATGGTCCCTTCCAAGTCTTCAGTCAAGTCTCCCTCAGCCTTCTTCTTTTCCCTGCCTTAGATTTGTCAGCTGCGTGCAAACCAAAACATCAACAAACCAAGCATACAAGTACCCCCTCAGGCCTACCCACCACGCAGTCACCTTATCACCCCTTCTCCTCCCCACTTCGGACCCCACTGAAGCAATGTCCACCTCACTTCAGGTCCAATGAAAAGGGCAAGCAAGCACAGCTGTCAGTTCAGTCTTCCTGTGACTAGAAACTTGATGCAGGGTTGCAGTATTGCCTCACCTGCATTAGACATCCACGTTTACTATGGTTCCCCTGCCAACCAAGCATCCACCAAATGGAACCGTGCGTGAGGATGTATATACCCAGGAACCCAAACACACCCATACCATGGTAAAAATATAGTTAATTAGTTGCATACATGGGGAATCTGAAACATGCAATAGCGGATCCACACCACAAAAACCATCATCATGCAGCCCGTTCCATGTAGTTCCTCACTGTCTCTCATGAAGAGACCGCTGGTCAGGTCCTTGGGTCCTAAGCCTGGTTGTGGCAGTTCCGGTGACCATCATGTCAGAAGTCTCCAATCGACCAACCATGCTTCCCAACTGGTGTGGGGTCATGGAACCGCAGACTTTTGGTTTGACCCATCATGGGGGGCTTCGTTGGTGTGGACCCCGTGGAGAGTGCAAAACGATCCGAATCGTTCTTCAAGGATCCAAACAAAATCTCCGAAGCTTCTCACATCACGGGCGCAATGGATCGTCTTCGGATCGCGGGGGCAGATCCGCGCCCAACCTCCAACAACCCCTCCGGGCGGCCCCCAACAAGTGACTTGCGACTCGTGGGGAAGGAGGGTGGCTGGGAGATCATTCTATTGGGAATCTCTATTGGGAGATCATTCCCTCATTCCCCACCAGTCAAAAACACCACCAGCTGCTCACCGTGCCCAGCTGCTCACCGCGCCCTTCACACGCAGCTCCGTCGGATCGTTGGCCCGCAGCTGCCCCGTGCGCTCGTTCAGCCACACCGGCTGGCCGGTGCGCTGGTCGGCGGTGGCCACCCAGTGGTCCCGGTTTTTGGACCTGACCAGTTGGACGCGTTTTGGAAGCCTAGAGGAGGAACCCGGTGGGGGGGAGATGTGGTCGGCTGAGTCATGGTCTCATCCAAAAGAGAAAAAAGAGACAACACACACTTAGTCACAGGTTCATCCAGTATCAGAATCCACGGTGAAATGGATGGGTGCGCTGGCCCCCTGCTCTATGAATTGAGGTGGGTACGAGAACTCTTCACACACGCACACACTTATGATTTTGCGTACTGAACTGAAAGCGGTGCCACACGCCAGCCTAAGAAACCAAATCCTGAAAAGTCCAGGAAATCCCTATGGAGCTTGGGGGGTCTTCAAAAGGAAAAGGGGCAAAAGGCTCAAGTCGAAATCGAGCCGACAGATGATAGCAGGTACGTCGGAGTGATCAGCTCCGATATCCTCCCAGCTCATGAGCAGCTTCGTTGGCAGTAGACTCATGAGTGGGCTACTGCCCCCTGCTAAAAACAATTCAAAAAGAATCCCTGTGACTACAAGGGGCACACACAAGCGCCTCCCCGAGGGGAGGCAAAAAGAATTGAGGCTAGGACGGTTGTGTAAATGTGCGCGCGGCAAAGACAAAAGGATGAAGACATGAGAAGGAGGACAAGACGGGACAAAAAGGTGTGTGGTTGCAATGAAAGAGAAACCGAGTGCACAGGGACGAACGATGAACCCCACCTCATTGTAAAGACCTGCGCGACCTGACACCTGTGTTTAAAATGTATGGAGAAGCGCACGTACACACTAAGGCTGGGACCAATGTGCGCGCAAACGAAGAAAAGGATGAGATGACCAGACATGAAGACAGGAGGGCATGAAAGAAAAGAAGAAACCAAAGGTGTGTAGAAGGGGAAAAGGATGAAAAGGGAACCAAATGGAGGAGAACCGATGAAGCCGAACCTAACCACCTAGGAAGACCTCGCCTCGTTTGCATGTATACGCTGTGTGTGCACCTAAGAATGGGACAGGTTCCAACGAACCTCCAAAATACTTTGACCGCTGTGGTCACCTTGTGCCCTGCCAAAATGGCTGGCTGCTTAGACCGCTGCGGTCACGTACAGGCATGAGCCAGCTTGGAATTCTATACTTCAGCAAGTCTTGGCAAACAACTTTGGCATAAGCCTCCTGCTGTCCGCTTCGGACACCTACGTTCCCAGGCAAGGGGGACTATGGACTAACACCCGTTAGACGGGTCCACAGGGGGCACTCCTCGGGCTCACCCTGGACTCTCACTAGGAGAGACGCACTTATGCGTACTGAACTGAATGCGGTGCCACACGCCAGCCTAAGAAACCAAATCCTGAAAAGTCCAGGAAAAACCCTATGGAGCCTGGGGGGTCTTCAAAAGGAAAAGGAGCCAAAGGCTCAAGTCGAAATCGAGCCGACAGATGACGGCGTGGCGTGCATGTCTGCGGAATGCGTTAGCCCTTTAAAGAAAATGATAGTCACAGCTTGAGAACACCACAAACATAGCAGGTACGTCGGAGTGATCAGCTCCGATATCCTCCCAGCTCATGAGCAGCTTCGTTGGCAGTAGACTCATGAGTGGGCTACTGCCCCCTGCTAAAAACAATTCAAAAAGAATCCCTGTGACTACAAGGGGCGCCCACACACAGTGTCATGTCATGGTGTGGACGTGCTTCTGTGCTTTCAAGGAGTATGTAAAACTATAACTTACTTCAAGCATTTCATCAAGCTCTCCATTTGCCCCCCAAAGGATGTACGTACGGCAGTTCACATCCCAAACACTCCATGTATACCGTCCATCTCAAACCATCGATATACATTTACCGCATTTATGTAACTATTCCATACATTGGATCGTTTCTGAAATGTCAAATAATGCAAAATGGCACCCTGGAAGACCTTTCCTTCTGAACCACGTCACGGTTCCAACATATTCCACGGCTTTCAATATGCTTCCGTAAGAACTTTCTTTCTATCTCCGACCCTCCGACCGATCAGCTTCGAAAAAATATCCGCCGCCACATGGTTGTCAGCTCAACCCTGAAGCGAGGCGGCGGGCGAGACTCGCCAGTCTAAACATCAAAGATTGAGAAAAACCTTGTGACCAAATGATAAATCAAATGGAGAGAGAGGCAAGGGGGGCACTGTAGGTACCACTCCTTGCCCAAACAAGAACGAGTCATGACAAGTCATGACAACAAGACCTCCCATCCATCCATCTCCCATCCCAGACCCACAGTTGGACACCCCCTGGCAAGCAAGCACCAAGTGTCTAGGTGAATGGGCGGGGTCCTATAGCAATGGTGACTAGTAACTTATCTAAACTTACTCCGCAACTGGCTGCAACAGGGAGTCAAATATATTAGTTGTCTAATTCAATGCTATAGAATGCTGGACGTCCTGTCGAACAAGCCACACCGCCCTGTCGAACAAACCACCGCCTACCGGGCCGGCCTTTCGGTGGCCTGTGTGCGTGCAAAGGCTTCCAAACCTGCACCACCAAGGTCGGATCGATCGATGGGGATCCCGAACCACTTATGGAAGACGGACCAAACGGAGTGCCCGGACCAGACTCCGTCAATGACGGATCCAAACCCGATCCGGAGCTCGACGTAGCTCGATCCGATCGATCTCTGATGACTTGCACTCGATCTCCGATCCGGGGGTCTGGGGTCGTGGGTGTTGTCCGGCCTTCCGCGTAGCGCGTCCACTGCGCCTCGAAGCGGCGCGTGGCGCGCTGCACGAAGCGTTCACGCTGGAGAAGCTCCTCGTGCTCGTGCTGCCAGGCCTTCAAGAGCATCAGCTCCACGGGCAAAGCTGGACTCCAGGCCTCGTGCGCGGTCTGCCCAGCGGAGGAGAGAGTTCTGGGGGGCTTCCGCGGCTTGGGGCGTCTATTTTTCATAGCCCCGAGAAAAACCGGTTCAGGCATGTCCACGAACCACCGGGTCCTTGTAGAGTTTTGTTTTGCGTGAAGCGGGGCAGGAAGCAAAATAAAGTGATGCCACGATTGCAATAACTGCAAGATGTCCAAAGTAAGTTTAGCCAGGTGTACAAGGAACCCTAAGTGGGGTGTTGTATGCTATCGAGTGGCACAGAACATTGTGCCCAAGTACTTTCCCAGTTTGAGCGCTATATAATCCATCCTGCAAGTAGCCAAACACAACCCCCAAAATAGGAACAGGAACAGATGAGTTATACCAAAGAGTTGCTTGCTACTTTCTTTGCTATATCTTGCTATTACACGTTACGTCTCATGTAGCATTGAATTGCATCAAAATGGATAGTGGCCAAATATCCTTCAGTCTGTCACAGCGACCCCCTTGCAACCATGTCCAACGTTCCGCAAAAGTCAAAGAATCAGCAATCCTCAAGCAGTGCCATTTGGTTTCACCAGAATCAAACATTTCAACATAGGCATTCCGGATCAAACCATGTTCTGTACATTTCCGTGAGTTGTTGGTTCATTTGCTCATTTCCACCACCTATTCCCTCGCGCTCATTTTGTTCCTAGTTGCTCTCATTGCTCTCCCACTTTCGAAGCATAACATCACAACCCTTCCCTTCCCCCCCGAAGCGACAACCGTCTTCTCTACCGCCGTTCGAATCCGCTCGACTTCCAACATGTTCCAACCATTTCCAACCCACCACCTCAGCCGAGCGGCAGCTCGAACCAGTTCAAAGGCCTTTTGGGCCTTCCTCCTCTTGCGGAGCCGAGCGAACTCTTTGGCCAGCTCCGCTGTCCTGGGCTCTCGAGCCCGATCTCCGACGGAGCAAGGACACTCGTCTGAGGGGACCGTTGGCTGATCCTCAGAGCTGGGAGAGGCTCAACATAAAAGATATATGCTGTTTTGTCCGTACACTGGGGCCAGGCCTGAATTTCATCCTGTCAACTTTATTAACTTTGATGCACTCGAAACTATATATAGAAGTGTCACCACTAACTAAGTGTCAATAACTTCTGTTGCAGGGAGGCCAAGCAAAAACATTACGTGAAGGTTGAAGGGATATCATGGGCTTCAAGAACTTTCAGCTTTCAGCAGGATCAGGGTTGAGTGTTGAGCAAACAACATGCAAAAGCCAAGTTTCAAGGTGGGCATCTCCGTCTCACCTCGTTCTGCCATGGTCCTTGGACGCTGAAACGGAGGCGCCCAGCAATACGCCCAGCCCCGGCCCCAGCGGCCGCGGCAAAACGCCTGGATCCGCACCGCCGCTTTGGTCCACACCGCGCCCTGCAGGGCCTCGGCCGCCTCCAGGGCCACGGCCTTCGTCCGCCGCCTCAGCGCATAACGCGCCAGGCGCCGGCGCAGCCGCGCCAGCAGCCCACGCCGCCGTACCGCGGCGAGCACCTCGCGGCGGCGCTGGAGCCG